CAGCCGAGCATAAAAAGAATCTAATGTTTCCCAATTATTGGTTTGTTTTGAATTTTAAATCTGATGATGGGTTGTCTCGCCGAAACGTAATATGAAATAAACGATATGAACATTTTTATCTCACATTTTGACTGAAAGCCAGGAGAGAAAAAAATATATAATAGTAACGATTACACGTAGTCAGGAAAATAAATCAAAATTTGTTCGTTTTGAAATTTTCTATAATTATTCGCTTTAAAATGCTCGAAAGTGCAAAAGAGTAGGAAAAAAACAAGTAATTTTTAATTACTTATTTAACAATGAAAAAATAACCCAATCAACCCATACATTCAGAGAAAAGTACTCGACTGCAAAACAAAAGGAAAGCCGTAAGGCTGATTAAGATCGGACGAACCGTTTTTGCATAATACAATTATTAATAAACGCACCTCAAAAAAAATTCCAAATTTAACTATTTTTCATATATGTATTTATTTATTTATATATCAGCTTCTACAGCACTGATTTTGACCATTTTTTTTTAAATTGAGGTTTTTTAAACGAGATCTTTTCATAGTCTCATTAATCAATTTTAAAAATAAAGAATCGGTGGTCAATTCTCATAATCAATCATTCTTAAATGTTGCTAAAAATTAGTGCTAATCATAATATCCTTACGGAGCATACAGGGTGTCGCAATGAGGATGGTAAGCGGCTGTATCTTGGAAAGTTTGAGTTGTAGGTGATCGGAAAAAAAATTTGATAACAAACTTGAAGAAAAGAATTTGCTGGAAATTATTTTGAAATTTCTCAGGTTCCCACTAGATGGCGTAATTGTAAACGATATTTTAGAAAGTCGATTTTATATAGAGATTGTCTCTATAAGTGAAAGATCTAGTAAGTTCAGCCAAAAGATCATAAAAAACCGTACTACTTTCCTTATGAACTTTTTTCCTAACTTGTCAAATAAAGGGTGGGGGGAGAGTCAAACCGCTTAATTCAAAGAAACCCGAAAAGAAACTCCGAAACGGCTTGACCGATTTCAAAGTTTTTACTATCAATTGAAAGCGCAATAAAAACTCTACAATACCTATGTGATATAACAACAATCTTTCACATTTTCGAAAAATCCGCTGTTCGAAAAAATGTATTTGTTTTAATTTTTCACAAAAATTTCAAATGTTACCATCAAATTATTTTGTACGCATTCGAAAGCAAAGGAAAAAATGAACCAAACCGCCAAGAACCGCATCTTAAAATAATTTCTGGAATCGATTTATTAGTTGAAAATAATAAAGGTTGCTTAATTCAAATAATTAAAGTAGGAGTTGTCCCTATAAGTGAGACATTTAGTAAGTTTGAAAATAGTGGGAAAAATAAAACATTTTTTTTCTTCCAAAGCCTACTTTAATTATTTGAATTAGGCAATCTTTATAATTTTCAAGTATTAAATCGATTCCAGACGTTATTTTAAGATGCGGTTTTTGCAATTTTTCCTTGTGCTTTCGAATGAGTGTAAAATAACTTGATGGAGGTATTTGAAATTTTTGTGAAAAATTAAAACAAAGAAATTCTTTCGAACAGTGGAGTTTTCGAAAATGATTAAGATTGCTTTTATATCACATTTTGTAGAGTTTTTATTGCTCTTTCAATTGATAGCAAAAACGTTGAAATTGGTCAAACCGTTCCGGAGTTACAGGTTTCTTAGTATTAAGCGGTTTGACCCTCCCGTTAAGAAAAAAGTTCATAAGGAAATTGACACAGTTTTTATGGCTTTTTGTCTAAACTTACGAGATATTTCACTAATCGGGTCAATTTCTGTATTAAATTGACTTTTTAAAATACCGTTTGCAATTACGCCATCTGGTGGTCATCTGATAAATTTCAAAATAATTTCATGCAAATTCTTTTCATCAAGTTTGTTATCAAATTTTGTTTTCCGATCACTCTACAACACATACTTTCCAAGATACATCCGCTTACGATCCTTATTGCGACACCCTGTATATTGTTCAATGTAAATTAGTATTAAATTGAATAATTAATGCGTAATATTGCTATAAATTAATTTATATGTTATGTAATGCATATAGTACTTTGGATAACAGGAGATAAGTCATAAATAATCGTAAAATATTGACAATTTAATTTATACACATAATTTACAGAATTTATTTATAATATAAAGTCATTTAAATTAATAGATTTTTGTCAAAAGCAACAATTTTCGAACTTTTTAATACCGCTCAAAAAGTTATTAACAATTAGAAATTGGTTAAAATAGCAATTGTATATGATAGTGTAGGGGTCCAAGAAGATGTAAAAGCTGAGCCTGGCACAAAATTAAAGAAAGGTATTTTTTCAGGTACTTTATTTAACAAATGCATTATGCAAATACTGTCCCTTCTATCTTAATCGGGCTTGTGGCTCACGTTTTCTATTGCAGTCGAGTCCTTTTCTCTAAATGTTTGTCGTGATTGGGTCATTTTTTCATTGTTAAATAAGTAATTTAAAATTACTTTGTTTTCACTTACTTTTTTGCACTTGCGAGCATTTTAAACCGAACATTTCAAATATACGGATATGGGAGCCACTCTATCTTATGGAAACTTTCATAGCGAACAAATTTATTAGGATACATTTTTTCTCCAAAATGCGGTTGTTTTCGGAAAACAAAACGATTTTGGCAGTTTTTTTCACTTTTTCTTTGCTTATGCAAATAGTACACCTTTTGAAGGGAACGCACATTAATACTTTCAATAAGTAGACTATTCCCGAGCCATTCAAATATTTATCTTAAATGCGACACGTTAGAGCCATGCCAATATGTAACCCTCCTGGCTTAGAAGGCATAGGACTCTTCATAGTACAATTATTCCATAAAAATCTAAACGAAATAAATAAAACATTTCTCTCACTTTAAGAAGCAAATACATAGTTGAAACATTTTGATAAGCGCTTCTTCAGATTATTATTCAGACTCTATCGATTCGAGATAATTACTAGTTCTTATTAAGATACTGAAAGGCGATGGATAATTTTACCATATTCTAATGGTCAAACACCTTAGTGTTCTAAGAATTACATTCAGAGCAGCATAAAACGATCTATTTAATTAGTACCCCGTGGCAGGTCTAGTACAAAAGTGCGCGTATAGGATTTAAGTATTATATGTAATTTTATTACTTTCATAACTGAGCTACTCTATTTTATGTGGTGAGGCAGCCACATACTGCGTTGGTTTCATGGTAAAATGGTAAAAAGAATGGTAAAACTTTATTTACGTGACTGTGCATTTTGCCATTATATCAAGAGCAATAAATTCCTTATGCTTATGGCAGCAGGACAAGAAAATCAATTCTAAGATGAACATCTCGGACAAACGTATATTGAAAACGGCTTGGTTTTTTAGATACACGGTGGAAAACGTAAAAAGTAAACATTTCATATATTTTTCAATAATTCGCGCAAATCTGGAGACACTGTAATAAAACTCATTCCATTCGAAGAGTTTCGCACCACATCTAGTCATGTACAAGTTTTTGGCACATTTACGAAGCTACTAATAATTAATTTTTAAACAATAATACATTTTTTGTGCCTACCCGTATCAAGTTTGATTTTATAGTCGTCAATCAATATTGAAGTAATGAAGGTTCTAGTTCGCTTCGAAGTCGCTAACAATAACCGCTTTCGGGATTTTTACAAAAAAAAACTTAAATTAAATAATGTTGGTTTTCTAATGTACATTTTCAATTATTGTATCTAAAGATTTGCGTTAATTATGAAAAAACAACTAATAAAACGTTAACTTTCTCATCCTCTATCTCACAGGCGAAGCCGTTTTCAATAGATGTTTGCATGATATTTTCGTCTTAAAATTGGATTTTCTTTCAACTGTTAAATTCCTGCTACTCAACAGGAAAAGAGCACTGTAAAGTCATTTTATTTTAATTATTGTGAAAATTGCAGCGATGCATTATTTGTAGACCATGGAAAAATTAGCATGTAATTTGCATTCTGCAGCAGACCTACTTTAGATTGCGATTGAGCCAATAACTTCGCTAACAACGAGTACAGTTACAATGAATCGTTTTTCCTCTTCGGCTGAAAATTATTTTACGCAATACTGATTTTTCGTCCAAAGTTTTAACTCCAAATTTCGCTGATTTTTCGCGAATCACGCAGTGGTGAATTTTTGTTACTCTGTTCTAATCTAGAACTTCTAAATTTATGCTCAGATACTCTGCGTACAACGCTAGTTCGGCATAAATATAGGTATATTGACTAATTTTTAATATTCCGCGGTTATAAATGTTCAGAATTTTTTGCAAACATCTTTAATTTGATCTGTTATATGATTTTTTAACTTAGGAAATACGTTGAATAGATGCAAATAGGTATGGTTGAAAATTCCAGTATGTGTAATATAATGTATTGTGATAATTATGAAAATAAATTATATTTAATTACATAATACTTTTTAACAGCAGACTTTTAAAGCAAAAATATTCCATAGGTTAATTTCATATTTTGTTATTTGACGTGCTTAATTAAATTAAATTTCAAGAAAAAACTCGAAAATCGAAATTGTTGATATTATTTCTGTTAATTTTTTGAAGATCGTTTTTGATATCCTTGAAAAAATCCCAGAAGTTTGGCTCGAATATTTTATTTTTGCTGTCCTTCGGGTAATTTTCAAATCTTGCTGAGTTTTGCTATTGCTGAATTCAGAATTACCCTAAAGGATCCTTACTCTTGCAAAACAATAATTTTAAATGTGACTAATATTTTTTTTGTTTTTTTCTTGAACTGTAGCCAATGTCTGCATTTGAGCGTTGGAATTCTAATCAGGAGTTCTTAAAAAAAATAATTTATGACTTTTTTTAGGTTCTAGATTACGAAAATCAGTTCTTCCAAAAATTGCTATCATAAACTTTATCATGGTATTGCGAAAATATGTAATAACAAAAACGTACGAACACCAGATATTCCAATTAAATATAAGTTTTTAAAAATACCTTTGATTGATCTGTGAAAATCGGAGCTGGATTTCGGCAGAAGTTGTCTTCACTTCACTTTAGCACCAGGAAATTGCAGATCTGGCTGGCAGGTACTGCCGACAATTAACTGGTGATTTATCGATTAAAGTTACAGACCTCAACACTGGCACTAACTACAGTATTATCATTAAGTGCAACGGCTCACTGCCCTTGGCCTTGAGATTTATAGAAGTGCTCTTGGTGAACTTGAGAGAGTACTTTGGATAAGTCTGACCGCGGTTACCGCCACACGAAGAATGTTATCCGCAAAGTCGGTACTCCTGCTTGTCGTCAGTACTTCTTGCAGGTTACAAGATCTCCGCGGAAGATCCGGAGAGTGGGGAATACTGCCTTTACGGTACGACATATTCACTGACGGTGGTATTATTGCAACATTACGACAGGTGGATGACGCTACCGGGGTGTGTCGCGCGGAACATTGCGTAAGGTACTGCCAAGGGCGAAGTGGTAACACATATATCATGGGCAAGGTTGTAGGCGTACATTGACTTTTATATATTGCGTGGATTATTCCTTGTGCAATTCCTTAATCTTCGGTGATGCCCTTTTAAAGTGGGACACTGTTTTTATTTCTACACTTTCTTAATGAAACGATGTAAATAATTAACAGGAATTTTATTATTAATTTGTTCTAGAGCATTATTTACATGCAATTTTAGCTTATCATTGCAAATTATACATATGTAAATATATTAAAACGTATTTCATTGGTGCCTTCTGAACAATTTTATATGCTTTCTGACAAAACGCACGAAACATATTTTTAACCAGTTTATTGATTCCCCATCGGAATTCTTTACTCTTTTGAAACTTGCGTCTTCTAATAATTTTGTTGATATAAAAGCTTTCTGTCTCATATCGTTTAGAATAAAGTTATTACCTTTCAACACTTAAAAAAAAATATTAATTATTTTAAAATGTTTTTATTAACATGCACTTTTTAGGTTCATTTAGGTGCTTTTGATAACGATAGCAGAAAATAGCTATCGAAACGTCAAGGTAATTTTTCAAATTAATTTCTTTATTAATTGGAAGTGTGTCGCAGGACACCCTCTAGGTGATAGTTCTTGATTACTTTTTGATAAATAATTCGTTTTTATTGGCGAAATAGGAGCACTATTTACGAATCTGTAATAAAAAACGTTAGAAAATTCTGTCTTTTTTTAAGACAAAAATTTTTGATGCGAAATACCCAACAAGAAGTTTGTAAACAAATTAATCCGCCTCAACAATATAGAACTTATCTATTTTTTAAATTCTTGGGAAACAAAGAGTATTTTTTTTTAAACGATATTTCTACCACGTCAGTATCTTTTATTTGGTAAAAAAAATTGTCCTGATATTAAAAATCAGTTATCTATGATTTCCACACAATTTCCCAAACTTTTGACACTTTTTCACCACATTAAAGCTACTTTAATGTTTCTATTTTGCCCGCCGCACATGTCACTGTAAGCTATAATGTGTCGTGTATAACCACTTCTTGAATTTTTAACATGTTTTAGGGTGCATGAAGCAATTTCTTGAACGCCTCTCAATGCAGTAGTTTCTTCTCACTATCGTTATGAAAATTGAGAAAACTCAACTTTAGTCCATATACATTGTAATATGCCACTGAGGTATTCGAACGGTTTTGTTTGGTGCGGTGTTTTATGCAGGAGAGTCTGCTTTACAGTGCAGGAGAGCTTGAAACTTAACATTTTCAGAATTTTTTTTTGAGAATTTGTGAAGTTCAACCTTTTGTCTTGCTTTGTTTTGTGCAACTTTTAATGCACAAGTTGATTCCTGCCGAACCTGTATGGGGAAGTTTTGGTCGTTGCAGTGTTTTATGCAGGAGAGCCTGCTTTACAGTGCAGGAGAGCTTGAACCTTGCAGCATTTTCACAATTTTTTTTTGTGAATTTTTGAAGTTTAACCCGTTATATTGCTTTGTTTTGTGCAACTTTTAACGCACAAGTTGATTCCTGCCGAACCTGTAAGGAAAATGTTGGTCGTTGCAGTGTTTTCTGCAGAAGAGTCTGCTTTACAGTGCAGGAGAGCTTAAAACTTAACATTTTCAGAATTTTTTTTGTGAATTTTTGAAGTTCAACCCCTTGTCTTGCTTTGTTTTGTGCAACTTTTAACGCACAGGTTGATTCTTGCCGAACGTGTAGGGGTAAGTTTTGGTCGTTGCAGTGTTTTATGGAGGAGAGTCTGCTTTACAATGCAGGAGAGCTTGAAACTTGCAGCATTTTCAGAATTTTCCGTCGTCCCGTTTTCTTGCCGCGTTTTGCGCAATTTTTAACGCGCAAATTGATTCCTGCCCAACCGGTACGAGAAACGTTTTGGTCTTTGCAATGTTTTATATGCTCTTCATACGATACAAACGCTAATCTTCACGCAAAACTTGCTCTTCACACGACTCTAAAAACTTAGAAACAAATCGACAATAAAGTTCTTGTTACTTCAATCCATTTGCCTCTTTGTAGATAATTGGAATCGCCGCAGATCAAGTCGTCGGGTTTTAAAACGTAATAGAAAATTACCATAAATTGGGTTGAGAGTGATAAAAACTTTGATGTCGATTTGCTCCTAAACGAAAAGGTTTTTCAAGTTGTGTAAAGAACACATTTTTTGTCTAGTATTTTCCAATATTTAAAATCGCATATTACTTTTTTATTACCTGTTTTGCCAAAAGAAATATGCGATAAATTAAATTTGGGATTTCAGGTAAAGTGCCATCTCGTGGTACAGTAGAGAAACAATTTTTATCCAAAAGCTAAATATTACTAAGATAAATCGTTCTACCAATTTTGGATTTGATCCGCAAAGAAGTGCTCAAAATAGATTAAAAAAAAATTGATGAGCTTTCAGATTTCGAATTTTTGTTACATTACCTGCTGTATTATTTTCCAATATAGTGCACCCTTCAAAATTTCCCAACACATTTTCCGAACACGCTGTGTAATCTATCCGACCAGACCACAGAGTATAAAATTCTTCCATCTTTTTGGGGCTCCTGTGTGATTAAGCACTTGTCTAGCTAGTGGATGTTAATGAACTAAGGCTGTGCTTAGCACTACTGTGATAACTAGCACTGGAATGTACCATCACTTTTTTCACAGATGACATGTTTATGTTGTTTTGTGTAGTACGATCTGGTTTTTCACGTAGTATGAAACGTTTACAATACGGTTTAGTACGTTTTTTTGGAACCTCCGCAAAAACAGGGCCGAGCCATTCTCTCTTAGTGAAGATGTCGAGTTTGCTGCACATATGCTCAAATTTTATTTAAACATTGTGTAGCTAGACATACGGCTGGAGATCTTATAAATTTTATTCAAACCCAGCGTACCCTTTCCCCCTCTCACGTCACACACCTCATATAATCCTTTCCCATTCTTACTACTGGACCAGAGCCTCTGCCACTCGTCCATGACCCAGGACCGCATCCGACTTTTGACCTGCCTTTTAGTTATTTGTGCCGGGGCCTCCACCACGGGTGTACCCCAGAGCGCACAGACCCGCATACCACCATCCCTCATCGCATGCAACGCCCTCTGTACCCTAACAGCTTCCGCAGACCGTGATCCATAACCATTAATTGCAAGCAAGGCATAACTAGAGTCCGTCCACACTACCGCACAATCACCCCTTATGCAATAAGACCTCAAATTCATCAGGGCCTTTCGAATTGCTGCGATATTTATGTCATTCACACTCTTACCACCCCATTCAACCCATTCATCACCAACCCTCTCCCACTCGCTCCCGCCCACACACCACACACCACTAGCCCCTTTCTCACCTGCATCACACCACGCATTCCAAACGGTATTCTTTCCTTGAATCGTCTCTCCTTTTGCAGCATTTTGCAGCCGCTTATGCGGAGGGACCTGCTCCGACTTTCTCGCCATTCCAACATTTACTCTCCATCCGTACTCACTATAAAATCTATGCCTGCCCAAGCCCAAGCAGTCCAGCCACACCGGGGGTGACCCGTACACGACCTGCAAGGCCTTCGTAGAAGTCGTCCTATACGCCCTTCCCATTCCAAGAAGTAGAAGCCTATGGGCTCTTCCAGCTGCTTCTTAACTTGGGAGTCGGACGTCTTGCCCCCCCTATTTCAGACGCATACAAGATTGCAGTCTTCACCACTCTCTCATAAATCATCCACACCACATTATTCGCCGCCAGTCCTCTCTTCTCATAATCTGCAGGATGTTGCACTTCGCAGTGGAAAGTACGCCATTCTCAGACACTCCCCATACCATGTTTTTCACACCTTTCTCTCTCACCCGACACACAAACTTCCAAAAACTCATCGACGTACCATCCGCCCCTGTAGCCTTGTTATTCATCATCCGCCGCACCGCTTTACTAAACTCCTCGTCTCCCAATTTATCACACCCATCCATCCTCCTCCCCCAATATTCATCCAAACCTTCCCGCTCATTCCTCTTACTCACACTCAGCTCTGGTTGGTACTGGAAGTACCATCCCCCCTGCAACTGCAGGAATTTACCGGATTCCATGCTTCTGTGGAAGCGTCTACATAGGAACTCCAAAGAGATCGGTTGCGACAAGAATAGAAGAACACCGACGGAATTGTAAATTGGGACATGTGGAACAGTCGGCAGTGGCGGAACACGCCCTCAGCGATGGAACACACAACATCTATTTCGGAGAGGCACAGGTCCTGGCCACAACAACAGGGTATCGCCTCCGACTAATACGAGAAGCCATTGAAATCTACAAACAGGACGACAATTTCGACAGGAAAGAAGAGACAATGGCGCTAAGCAGGGCATTGTTTCCAGCAGTCATCAGCGCAAAAACAGCAAGAAAAAATGTAATTTTTAGTCTCCAGATCTTCGATTTAGGACATTGCTCGTTGAGCCAGTTTTCTTTAGCCATTCCAATTTTATTCTTTATTTCACGATTGATCGGTGGTATTCCGATTGCTCTTTCTTCAAGCGTCTCGTCCATTAAATAAAGAATATCACCAGTCATCCAAGCTTTCTTTTTAATTTCTGTGTGGTTTGAAGATAATTTTGAGTTAGCGTTTGGTTTGTAAAGGCCTCTTTGATGTTAGTCTAAACAGTCCCTGCCTCAGAATTCTCCCCGACTTTTGCAATACCCAATCCATGTCCACTAACTATGCCTTCTCTCGCACCGCTATCAATCTTTGCATTAAAATCACCAAAATAATGGTAATTTCTGACCTTTTAATGCCTCAACTTACTTATTTTAAAAGTAACACACAGGGTGATCCAAAATTGGCGTCATTCCTCTGGAGGTGTTGTCTGGGGGTGTCTTGGCAGTACCGAAAAAATAGGAAAAAAAATTAATTGTTAATAAAAGCTCAGATA